TACAAAAAACTCTTTTTGAGCTCAAACTAATGGCTTTAGTTTCATAAGAAAATTATTTCTTAATCAAATTTAAATACTCTTTTCAAAACTTACACTTTTTCTATAAATTTCACAAAACTAAATGCCCAAACTATTTACCATAAGCCTTTAACTATTGACACCCATTTGACCACATGCAAAATATGAAAACTAACTCATGCAATGCACCATATCATATTAAACACTTATAAATCATAATTTCAATACTCAACCCCTTCATTCAAAAACATAATAAGGGGAAGTTTGAGAATATTTCCATTAAAAAATTCAAAATCAGCACATAGTATGCTCAACTCTTATTTGCACTAGTATTTTAGCCCTATCACATATAACACATATCATCAACTCACTCCCTAGGGCCTAAAATACATGTACAACTTATAAGACCATAATTTAAGTAAGAACCAAAAATGGATAAAACCTAATTGGAAATTTAAATTGTCACATATATATAAAGGCTCAAAAATAAAGAAGCCTACTAAAATAGAATTGCAGTCTTATGCCTTTGATTACTTTCCTCTATCCGATCCTCTTAAGCTATTCCTTGTAATGTTAAAGATAATAGAGTAAGTACAACCACTCAATAACTAAGGTCCAACTAACACATATTAATGCATGTTAATTGATTTAAATGCAAGTGACATATATAAACAATTCTTCAAACCATGTAAAACATTTGAGAATAAAAATCCCTATTTCCAAACATAATAGCACATACTTGGAAGATAATGTTTTTTAGCAATTTTTATATCAAAGGAGGTTTATCACATGATTCAATAACATATAATCAAAAGTGATTTAGACTCAACTTATGATTATCATCATTAGGATTACAATACAGACAACCATGTGTCCTTACTCACTATATACATGATCGCACCTCTCTTACATCCTTCTTATTCCTCTGACACAAAACCATGGGCTGTAACACAATGGGATAGTCTTTAATCCATGACTTCCTTGGCCTAAAAACTTGTGAGGGGATTACCCGGCCAAGGCACACTCAACTAACTCATGGAACACGGTTTTTTCCATTTCTCTATACACCTTAAACTAGCTTCCTCGTTGAACCAGTGGCTAGCTAGTTAGGTTCGAGTCTTTCGTTGAACTAGTGGAACAGTCCCTTATTGAATAAGTGGGACAATGTGAATAAAATCAATTCGGGTAAGCCATCACTCAGATGGGAACCCTACTACGTGAATTTAATTATCTACTCCTCTTTCTAAGCAAACTCCCACCTCTCAAGATCATGTAATATATATTCATGCAAAATTCACGTTTAATTTAATTCATAGCACTCTACATAACCAATTTCATTGAACTCCACCATTTTATAAATCATTAAACTTTTTAAATACATTTTCATTGAATTCCAAATTACACAAGTCATTGAACTCCAATTCAAACAAGTTATTGAACTTTAACTTTTAGAATCATTACACATTCATAATCATTGAACTCCATTCATTTCAAAATCATTGAATTTCTATCACTCAAATGATTGAACTCCTATTTTCATAATTATAGTATCCTACACTTTGACAATCATTGAACTTCATAATTGTTTAAAATCATTGAACTACATTAAATCTCCACTTCATAATAGGCTTTTTCAAGCAAAGAAAGGTACATTTGCATTTCAATCAATTTCACATAATTCAATCATCATTTATCAATCAATAACTAATAATCACACAAAAGCTTAAGTTATAATTCCCCCAGTTACCTTAAACCTTTAAGAAGTCAAAGGTTTCACTCCTCAAGTACTCACTCTCAAATCTTCCAAGAAGCTTGAATGGTGCTAATGATAGTTACTCTACAAGCATTTACGATGTAAATCATCAATATCTATATTTGAGCTAATTTCACTATACTTCAACATTTCTTAATACTTAAAATTCATTCTTGACTCATGTAAAAGTACTCATAGAGTTTCTTAGCTTCCTTTAATCTTTATTAATATCATTGAGCCCTTTAATGGTCATTAATGGACCGCATTATTCCCAACCATCATATTTATGAGGATTTTTGGCCACCAAATGCTCCTCAACCACCAATCAACATATAATTATATATACCAAGTTTACTTAACTCAATCTACTCTCATTAACTTTATTTAAATCAATGAATTCGGACCCATAACCTCTATAGACCAAAAATCACTATTATTAATCAAACCCTAACTTCTATCATAAAAAAGAAAGAAGAGAAAAATATTTAAGTAAGAAAGCTTACCTTTAATATTTAGGAGCTCAAAAATACTCCTAATATTCATATTTCCCAAGCCCTAGTACAATCCTTTCACTACTCTCTCATGTTCTTTGTGTCTTTCCTTCTTTGTTGCATCAGATTTACGACTTACTACAGCAGAAAAGTGACCATGCGCCGCGGCGCATGGCACAAAGAGCTTCTCCCAAGTGTGTTGTCACTTATGTGCATCGACGGCTTATCTACAAGCCGTAGCGTGTGGCACAAAATCTCTCTCTATATAATTTCTTCCTCTTTCATTCTCGGGTGACTCGATTTTCCTTGGACCCATGTTTAGTTTTGAAATTGAGACCGAACATGGCTGTTATGCCTCTCTGGCCACACACCTCACTAATACACTTAATTATTCTAATTGAGCTTATTTAATCTTGTTTAAAATCGAAGATGTTATAGTTAAGGTATTAATAAATTTAGTTATGCGATTAACAAGTAATTTAGTTCTGTTACAGGAGTCATGAGGTTAAAAAAAAGTTGACTAATTAACAAGTCCTATTAAGATATTAACAAGTAAAGTCACGCGATTAATAAGTTATGTAATAATCAAGTAGTTTGAAAACAAGGTTTATTATATATATAATTTTATGCATTATATAATTAAATGGGTTGAGTGGTTTGGTGGTTCAAAACTTTTTGGTGAACCAATGGGTCTTGGATTCTGCACCTACCTTAGCCACTTTTGGAGAAATTAATTCTCCAACCATCACCGACAGTGGGTCAGCCAACAGCCGAAGCTCCAATGACAAAGGTTCGGTGGTTGTTGTAGTTGATGGTTTTTTTTAATATCTGAACTGAGGGTATTTTTATCTTTTCTACATTCAACTTATTTTCAATTTAATCCCTAAAGACTAAATTGAGGTTTGAAATTTTTTGGGACTCACTATAAAATATGTTTCTTCTCAAATCTTTAAATGAAATTCTCCCTAAAAATGAATAGGCATGTGTGGGTTATGCTAAATTTGTAAAATGAAAAAACTCTTGTGCTTTCGGTAATCTCTCATCTTAATGAAGCTCATGACAGCTTACTAGTTAGTATACATGATTTACTATTGATCCAAAAGTGTCTAGTAAATTTGAAGAGAAGTTTTAACTATCATAAGATCAATCATATTATATAATAGTAAATATCAGATTTTTAAAGAGATAACAAAAACATAAAATTAGACTGCATTATATAGAAGTGAAAGTTGAATATATGAATAATATTCACGACGTTAGTATAAAAGAAAACGTAGGTTAGACGGATGCAGAGCATAAATTGTAAAAATGTTGTTTAAAATGTGCTTTTAAAAAAATACCATTATTTATGTCTTGCAAAAGTACTTTCTATTTTTTCCCCCAAACTTATCTAACCCTTCTCAACACCATGCACATGCATAAGTCACGCCCCCTCCCAAGACGCACCGGACAATGCTTATCTAACCTCCACACAAATTACTAATATCATTTATTGGTTATAAATAGATTTGAAGATGAATAGTTTTAGGGACTTTTGTACATATAACTATATTATAAGACCAAATCATACAAACAGCACGATATTTATTATATTTTATATTATAATTTATTTATTATATTTATTAATAATATACTGTTATATATCAATAATAAATATTTTATAAATTTTTAATTTTTTAATAATAAACTCTTTATATATCAATATTAATCGACTACATTTTTAAATTTTTAAAAATTTGATTTATATTTTTTAGACACAAGATTTTTTTTTGCCAATAAACCAATTTATCCACAGTTTTAACTAATTATGCAATATAAAAAAAATTAATGTATAAGTCTCTATAGTCAATGATAGTGTCATGTACGAGTGAGGGTGGGTACCTAACATATGCTCCCTTTCTTTTTTTTTTTCTTTTCTTTTTTTGGCCTCAATATGCTCCCTTACTTGGGAAAATTATATATAACGTATGCAATTATAGATTTTGTACTCATTTTTTTATATTTTGAACATTAAATTCATTTGATTTTTTTTTCTAAACCTGAATTTAAATTTTTCAACTTTTTAACTCAAAATTTAGCAATACGATAAATCTATATAATTAATTTTTAATTTATTTTTAAAATTTTTGCACTATTACTACTTATAATTGTTCAAAATATTAGGTTAAATTGATGGTAAAAAAATATTAGGTTAAATTAAAAGTCAAGGATATTAATTGTAACTAGTAATTTGTGTCATTCTTTAAGGCCATGTTTGGTATATTAAAATTGTGAAAAGGAAAATAGAATTGGACATGGAATTCTTCAGTTGACTTGTTTGGTATACTAGAATTGCTTTCTTGAAAGAATCTGATTCTATCAAAATTGATGAAATCCAATTCCATTGTAGAGACCATGGAATCCACTAACTCAACATGAAATTGGCTTATGTGTCATTAAAAAAATAAAATAAAAGGTATTTTGAGCTTTAAAAGTATATTCTTTATTTTTTTTTATCAATTCTATCAAAAACTCTTCTCTCATACCAAACGAGGCCTAACATATTTGAATTTGATGAATGTACTTAATACAGATATTAAATATTTTATATTATTTAAATTAATAAAATTTAAATCAATAATTATAAATTTATATTTTATTTGAGATTAATAAAGAAATAAATTTATTTATATCATTGAACAATTCAAATTATACATGTATCCAATGCCAGCATCAGGTATAATCGGGATCCAATTCCCCCTTTAAACCTGTTAGTTTTCTTTTTCAGCTGAAGAGGAAGGAAGGTCGAAGGTGCATGGGAAAACACAAGGTACTCGTATGAGGTGGGATCCTAGATCTGGGGGTGAAATTTTACTGGTTTTGACTCTTATTTATTCCCATCTTGGCGCCACCCACCTTTTTAAAAGAACAAGAGAGAGGGTGGGATCCTAGATATGAGGGTGAAATTTTCGATTCTCAGAAAGTTTATTCGCTGATACTTCTGTTGAATTGGTTAAAGACATGGCGTTGGAGCTGGTAGGGGGAGCTGTATTGGGACTTGTGTTTGAACAACTCCGAAAGGAAGTATGGAGGGTGAAGAACAACGTCGTGACGTTCAAACCCAAATTGGAGGAACTTGAAGAAACACTCGATTTTTTATGTCCTGTCATCGAAGAGATTGAAGAACTAAACAGACGATTGAAGGGACCAGATTACAGAAGGGAAACTTTTGCCTTGAGGAGATTGCTAGAAGATGGTACGAAGCTTGTTTCCAAGTGCTCCAAAATAGGAAGCTGGAACTTTCCCAAACAGTGTCATTACAAGGAGAAGCTGATGGAACTGGATAACAAAATCTTGAAGTTCCATAACCTTCACATGCAAGCTCATATGGCAAGGGATCAAAAGAAGACCTTGCTAATGGTGAACCACATATTCATGTTTCTCAATCTTCAAGGCTATCCAAATCTTACTATGGGCCACACTGCCTTCTCCTCTTCCAACGATTCTATCAATGAGGTGATTATAATTTATGTTTTGGTTAACCAGTCATACTCGAATTCTTGGATTGGGGCCTCAAAAGAAAAGAAAAACCAGACAGAGTGAGAACATACTCTTAAATAGAGTTTATGGGGCTGTTTAAAACTGTTTTTATTTTATTATTTTAAGAACTGATGTTTTGTAAAATATGTTTTGAAAACAAAAAAAATAATAAAATATGTGTTTTTTTTTTCATTTTTTCTTATTCTTTAGAACAATAATTACAGAATTTAAAAATTATTTTTATTTTTCTGTTCTTTAAAACAATATTTTATTTTTTGTGTTCTCCAAAACACATTTTAAAAATATGTCACCAAACAATTTTTTTTTGTTCTCTTGTTCTGGAGAACAGAAAGCTGTTGTTAGAATAAGTTTTCAAATAGGCCCCATGTTTTTTTCCCCTTCCACTCAGATTAAACCCTTTAATTTAATTTATTTCAAGTGAATGTTTTTGAATGATAATATTAAAAATGTAATTATTGCACCAACAAACATTGATATAATTGATAAGTATTTAGCTCATGACTATTGATCCATAACCTATTTAGCTCATGACCTTTTTTTCCAAACGTTGTTAAGGCTTGTTGGTGGGTGATTAGTAAGTTTATATATAAATGCTTTTTGATCCAACCTTGATGAATGCGTGATACCCAGCTCATCTAAATAAAAGTGATTATTGCATATTACTCTATACTTTTATTTTTGAAATAGAAAAAAATATGGCCTTATATTTAATGCTTTTAAATCTAACTTTGAGCTTTCCATATCGCAGACTTCGGTGCTTCTGCTTCGCATCTTTTTCTCTTACAAATCAGCTGAATATATCGTTCTTGAGGGAATGGCGGAGGAGTCCTCAAGTACGAGTAATGGTAAGGAATACGTACGTTTTTGCTGCATATGTTTCTTCGTCTTTTACATAAAATTGGGGTGAATACCGTTTGTTCATGTGAAGTTTAAGATAAATTCACTCTTCACTTCTTGTAAATAAAAATAACATTACTTCCTACAGCCCAGCCTTAGACCTTTTAAAACTCCCATTACTCAGCTTCATATGAATTGCAATAACCCAAAGAAAAGGAGAAACCCACCACTCAATTTCCATAACTATCTCTAATAACACATCCACAACCAGATTTCTGCTCTAAATTAGCAACAGCCCCATCTACATTCAGTTTCATCCGCTGAGGTGGAGGGGGGTTTCCATTTTTCCTGTTTATTATCCATCAAACTCAGTCCATTATGGGGGTTAGCAACGTCTTGAACGAAGCTACCTCTTAATTTCAGAGCAGCAGTAGGGCAACGTGGTTTTTGGAAACCATTATTAAATACAAACTCTTCTCTCCAGTGCCACAATTTCCAAATAGGCACCCCCCAAGTAAGCTCCCATTTAAAACTCACATTGGTTGGCATATTTCTCTTCAGATTAGCCAAGATCCATTCCTCAAGAATAGCTGAAGAAAACTGTGAATAATGTATAGGTGCCACCAGCTTCTTCCCTAACTTTAGCGCGCACACTATCCCTTAAAATATATAGAACATCTTCGGATTTTGCTTTGCACCTGTCACAAATTGGTGAGCCCTGTGACCAAGAGCTTCTCCACTGGTTTGTAGGAAGTCTTTTGTGAACACTTGCCAAATGAAAAATCTGATCTCTCAGATCCCTCCCATTTCCAAATTTCCTAATAAACAGCATTATAATTACTTTCAGGATGGATTCTCTTCAATTAAGAAATAAGCACTCTTAATTGAGAAAACCCCACTAGAATTACCGACTCATGATATCACTGCCTCTGTTCAACCGTGGTGGTAGGATAGGAATAAGCCGTTGTATAACGTCACTTGGAATGCTACCAGATGCTCGGGTAAAATCCCAAACACCATAAGCAACCCAATCTGCAGCTTTACTCTGCTCTTCCTCAGGCATAGTTGGCCTCAAACAGAAATCTGTAATTCTGAACTCTGGTGCAAGCCAATAGTCATCAAAGAAATTTACTTCTTGTCCATTTCTAATCTGCCATTTCATACCTCTCTCAACTATATCTCTTTGTTGACAAATATATTGCCACAATTGTGAGTCACCTCTGTTTGCAGAAAGTAGGTTTTCATCACATTGAAGCATATACTTCTGCTGTAAAACCTCAGCCCATAAACTGACAGTACCCTTCACATGATTCCAAGCTATCTTTGCTCCGCAAGCTCTGTTAAGAGGCACAAGTTTTTGAATCCTAGACTACCATAGGATTTAGGTAAGGTAATATTATCGCAACTAATTGGATGATACCCCTTATTGCTGTCTCCACCCCAAATAAAGTTTCTTTGAAGCTTTTCAACCTCAATGCATTGGGTACAGAGGAATGGAGCTCAAAACAGATTTTGCTGGAATGACATGGCCTGCAGTTGAAAGGCAATTAGCCTTCCACCCAGCAAGTTTAGCTTTGACTTTCTCCACAACATGCCAAAATCTCTCCTTGTGTTTTTTGTATTCCTTTTAAGAGGAAATCCCAGATAATTGCCAATATCTTTAGTTATCTCCATGTCCGCTAGTCTTTTCAATTTTCTTCTCAGATCAGCTTTAACATTTTTTGAGAAGGAAGTAGATGATGTGCCCTTATTGACTTATGCAGAAGACATTCAAGCAGTTGAGCATAGTGTGAGTCTGATATTCAGAAGCCTCACCCAACAAGAGTAAATCGTTGGCAAGCATAAGATGTGAAATAGACGGCCCCCTCTTAGTGATAAGTATAGGTTTCCAACGACCTTTATGCACAGCATCACAGATTATATGAGATGACCTGTCCATGCACAAAACAAACAAATAGCGTGAGATTGGGTTCCCTTGATGAAGACCATGTTGAGGGGTGAAAAATTCAGTTTGCATGCCTTCCCAAAGAACATCACAAGACACTGAGTTAATAAAGTCCATGCTCAGGTCAATAAATGTAGCATTGTAGCATCCATCCCTGATTCAGTAAGAGTTTGTTAAACAAAATCTCAACTCATATGATCATATGCTTTTTCTAAATCAATCTTCAAAGCCACATAGCCCTTTCTTCCTTTAGCCTTATTCATAATGTGCATTGCTTCTTGCCCAATAATAATTTGTCTTGAATGTGCCTCTTGGAAATGAAGCTGGATTGGAATGGAGACATCAACTTACCCATGATGGCCTTCAATCTCATAGTAATAATCTTCGTGATGCACTTGTAGTAAACAGTACACAATTAAACAGGTCTGAAATGCCCTACAATCTGTGGATTTCCTTTTTTGGGATAAGGGAAATAAGAGTTCTATTAGCATCATCTATAGAGATTTTTCCTTGGAAAAAATCTGTAACAAAGTTGCAAACAGAATCACCCACAATTTTCCAGTTTGCTTGGAAAAAAAAAAAAAAAGGAGAAAAGCCATCAATGCCGGTGGCTTTGTAAGGTCCCATAGCAAACACTGCTTTACGAATTTCTTCAGGTGAAGGAATGGCAGTCATAGTTGAAGCATTAAAACTCTCACTTCTTGGAAAAGAAATAGTGGAAGTAAAGTTTTCGTTATTCATTGTTTCCTCCTGGAAAATATTTTTAAAATAATGAAACACTAGATTTTTCAAAGCCTCTTCATCAACCCAATTACCATCATTATCTTTCAATGCTGCCGCCGTATTTCTTCTTCTTCTACTGGTAGTCTTGAGGTGGTGATATCTAGTATTCCTATCCCCTTTTGTGATCCCATCAGTACGAGCCTTTTGGTACCATTTAGTCTCTTTTAGTTTCAGAATCTCATCTAATTCTAATTGTAAATCATGCTCCAGATTCCTTAAAAAATTCGAAGTAGGATAGGAATTTGAAATTTGGATACCATGAATACATGCCGGAACATGTTTTTCCTTCTTCCAACCAAACTAAGAGCTTCCCTATTCCAAATAGAGACAGACTCTTTAAAATCAGATAAATTACATTCAAGAGTGGCACTACCATTCCATTTCCTTTCAAGAAATCACAGAATCCTCCTTGAGATAGCCACATGGTCTCAAAACATAGATATGATCATAAACCATCCAAGGTCCTCCTGTTAAGGCTTGAAAATAATCTTCTTTATTGGACAACTTCACAACAAAGTAGCCATGCCCAATGTCAATCAGATTAATAATTCCACGTTTAGCCCACATTGTCTTAAGCCTTGACTCTAAGGCTTTGAAACCAATACTTCTTCCCAGCAACTTAACATTGACTGGTTTCCTCCATGCTCTGTATAGTCTTTTCTTCACTTTGCTTGGAAAAAAAGAAGATGGGAAAGTTCCTTTTAGGGTCGTTGAACAGTTTTGAAATCAGGTTCCTATTTCTCCAAAGACTGAGACTTATCCTCATCTGAGTCCGAGTCTTCATCTTCATCCTTATCTTCCTCAGATAATTCTTCTTGTCTGGTCACTCTCTCAACTCTTCATCAAAAGTTGGTCTACTATTACTCGCACCAGCAGCTTCTTTAAGCTGGGGCCAATATCCTTGTAGTAAATTGCCTTCAGTTGCTTGAAATCCATTCTTAACCTTCTAAGAACTACGTGCAAGCTGGTCTTCTTCTTCCTTGGAGGTGGGAGTTTCAGGAAGCAGAGAGAGTTTTTTCCTCTTGACTTTCCCTCATGTGGTCTTTTATTCCTTTTTCCCCCCCGCATGTAGTCTTTTATTTAATTGAAATCGAAATTATCATTTCTATACGACAAACCCAAATTGGTTACAATTTCCACTCTGATTACTTTCCCTCGAATTAGTCCTTGTTAGTGTGGATATGGATATATTTTATCAAAAACTCATTGGCTTAGTCTAATTAATAAACAGCGCACGTACTATCAATTAAGTAAACTGATTAATAGGATAGTGGAAAGGGTTATGATTGTTTAAGTATAGGGTCTTAGATTCTAGCATATGTAATATACAATTTTTTTTTTCAGGAGAGTTGCTCTTAATTGAATTTGATAATACTCGAATGTGACATTCATTAACCAAATTCAATAACATTTTGCATTATAAAGTAGTGTGAGTTTTGCAAGTAATTAGGCATAGCCAAATCTATTTCCAAATTTGAAGGTACCAATTAAAAATCATGGTCTTTACTGATCTTATAATAATTCTATCAATAAAAAAAGAATGTTTCTATTGACTTTTACAAAACTGAGTTGAAATCTGCTCCATCTAAGCTGGCTTCCAAGATTTTAAATATGCATGCAAAGTTTCTAAATCTTGATGCCCTTGACTGTCATTATCTTATTAAAAAAGTCTTCATAATAAATATTAACCTGTAATGTTTTATCCATTTATAATTTTTTGGGGGAATGACACAACACCTAGGTTGAAAGGGGACTAATTTTAATTAGGTGTTGGGAAATGAGAAAATATCATTCTAGGAAAATGCCTTTTTTTTTTTTTTTTTGGGATTGGAAAGGACCATGCGATTAAATTTTTTGGGGGAGAAAAAAGACCAAGGTTTTGAAGTGAATTAAGATTAAGTGAATTAAAACTATAACCTTAATTCATTCGAAAGACCTTGATCCTTTCTTTCAAATATTTTAACCTCTTGCTCCTTCTTGCCGATTTCCTTTTTTTTTTTTCCTTTTCCCAAAAGAAAAAAGAAAAAAAAAAAAACAAGGTCACCATTGGAGTATTGTTGCCGACTAACTGTTGGTCAATTGTCTGAGCTCTGGCGGCGTGGTCATGGTGGATTTTTTTTTTTTGGGCAGCTGGTTGTGGAGGATTTTGAATTCATGACCTTTTTTTTTTAATATCAACGGCATTTTGATAAATGTGCTCTAATTTTTAATTTTATTAAAGTCTCAAGGGAGTTGAATGGTATTTTTTTTCAGGTTATTTGGGTCTTATTTTCCTAATCCCCCTTGTAATAGAAGGGAGGTGAACAAGTCAAGAAGTGAGGTTTGTTTTCTGATTTTGTAATATATATATATATATATATATATTTTAAATTGTTCAAGTGAACTTGAGTCGATAATTGAGAAGTTTCACATTCAATAAAATTATATTTAATAATTAATATAAAATTAAATAAATTTATGAACTTCAACTTAAAAAATTTGAGTTAAGATATAATGATTCAATAATTTTATTGTATCTCTGCCCTGATTCCGGCCGGTCCCTTCCTTTTCAACATATTACATCTTTTTATTTCCGATGGAATTGAGTTAATTACAGGAGAAATGCATCGTCCTGGCCCCTGCCGCATTGTAGCTGAGCCACATCACGGCCTTGATCTTCTTGTACAACTGGCTCGCTTGTTCCCAACATCGACAGTGTAAGCACACATAACGAAAATAAATATTCTTTTTTTTTTAAAAAAAATGCACATGGAAGTTCTCAAATTACAAGTGAATTGTTTGTAAATATATATCTTTCTCTTCCACTAAAAAACCAATGAATATATAGGAGTACCTTCATAAACTTATTTTTTAAAAACTTTTTCAAGAAAATCTTACTTGTTTATAGCATCTTCATATATGATTTTTCTTCATCTGTTGCGTCCATCGACCTTCCTTAAACTATTATTAAAACTCTATAATTATCATCATCTTATTAATTAATATTTTTTTTATTTGACTATCTTATTGGGTTAGATTTGAATGTTGTCGAGCTCAACTGGAAGTACTTGACATAAAGTTATTCACACAAATTTCAACTCGAAATTTCGTGCTGAGGCGGTCACATCTCCTTTTACTAGAACCAACAAGGTATTTTCTTTTAAAATTTCCATCCACAAATAAGAGAGCACATTTAAAATCTCTTCTGGTATTATCCAATTATCAAGGAATTTTCCTAGCAATCTTTTGGAGTTTAGTTAAGATACTTGAATTAAAAAAAAAAAAGAAATCAGAAAAGTGTATCAATTCATTCACATTCAAATGAGGTGTGGTAGCAAAATTTTCTATCAAGATCATGAGTAGTTAAATTAGTTAAGTAATCAGTCATAAGAACGTCTCTCAATGAGTCAGAGTGCCTTTACTTTCTTTCATCAATTCTAAAGCACTTTTGAATTGTTCTTCCCAGGACACTTCATAAGCTTTTGTCTAACTTGGCAACACAGCACGTAAATTATTGAGAAAATATAATTTTGAGTTGCTTCACTTTATTCGTGTTTTGCTATTGACCTCTATACTTTTTTTTTTAGTATTTTAGGTCTTTATACTTTTATTTTTGATTATTTTAGCTCCCTCTAATGTCTCTACACTTTATTTATGGGGGGACATAAAATAATAAAAAATAAGAGAGCACATTTAAAATCTCTTCTCGTATTATCCAATAATCAAGGAATTTTCCTAGCAATCTTTTGGAGTTTAGTTGAGATACTTGAATTTAAAAAAGAAAAAAGAAAAAAGTGTATCAATTCATTCACATTCCAATGAGGTGTGGTAGCAAAATTTGCTATCAAGATCATGAGTAGTTAAATTAGTTAAGTAATCAGTCATTAGAACGTCTCTCAATGAGTCAGAGTGCCTTTGCTTTCTTTCATCAATTCTAAAGCACTTTTGAGTTGTTCTTCCCTTAGCACTTCATAAGCTTTGTCTAACTTGGCAACACAGCACATAGATTATTGAGAAAACATAACTTTGAGTTCCTTCACTTTATTCGTGTTTTACTATTGACTTCTATACTTTTTTTTTTAGTATTTTAGGCTTTTACACTTTTGTTTTTGATTATTTTAGCTCCCTCTAATGTCTCTACACTTTATTCATGGAGGACATAAACAATAAAAAATAAAAGTATAGGAACTTAGAACACAGGAAAAAAAAGTGCAGGGATTAATAGTAAAATGCGATCAAAATACAGGAATTTAAAGTTATGTTTTTCTCAAATTATTTATACATACTTTCTTGCACTTAAATTATTACAAGAAAAATCTGTTTTAGCAACGAAATTTAGCGAGGAACTATTCTTTTCTAAAATTAGTGATGAACAATGACTTCATAGCTTGAGCTGAATTTAGCAAAGAAATTGTCCAGGAAAATTTTATTTCTCTAATTAGCGAGTCCTAGTTTATTCTTCTCTAATGTAATTGTGAACCTCTGTTGTGGCATGTTTTTCTTCCCTTAAAAAACTATAAACTCTGTATCCATTATTTTAAGAGGCTTTTATACTTTTGATCATCGCTTGAATTTGAGCATGACTGTATCTTAAGTGTGTTTGGCAGGACTGCTTTATTATATGTATATGTTTTAGTGGTTCAGAACATGAGGATGAGGAGAACGAGAATGGTAGTGTTGGTTCTTCTTATTCTTATGAACCAACAAGATCTGATGAAAAGATGACAACACAAAGTTATCAGCCTCTGTTAGACTCCGAACAACTTCACACAGTCGAAGCAAATAATGCTGTTAATTAGCTCAAGCATTTATATATATATATATATATATATAGTATACTCATGCTGGGAGAGTGACAATAAAGTTTTAAAAGGATAAATTAATAACGGTTAAATTCTCAACAAAATTTTCTGTAAAATAAATTGTAAATATTAATTCAAACAATTATCAATTGAAATTCCAATTACAAACTAATTGTTATATTTAAAATTTAAATATTGTATTTGAAATTAAAACTTTTAAGTTTGTAATTGTTTGAATTGATATTTATGATTGATTGTTTTTTTAAGAAAAAATTAGTCAGAGTTCTAACCGTTATTCATTTTCTCTTTTGAAATTTAACTATCATTCTCCCTACTCATACTTTTGACATTAAAAAAATTAATTAAAATTAGTTACCTCCCTCCAGTTCAAGATATTTTCTTCGGGCTAATTTTGGTCCATAATATAAACAACTCAGTAGTCATAAATTTTTTTTTTTCATTTTATCTATTGTATTTATTAACGTGGATTTCTTACCTTATTTTTACTCATAATTGATAATCGACGTTAAAAATTAAAAAAAAACAATATATATTTTGATAACAATAAAGATTTTATTATTATGCAGATTATTTTTAAAAATTAATTATATTTTAGACGGGCAGAAAATGTCAAGATTTTTCACAGCTCTTTAAAAATATCATTTGATTGGTATATTTTATTGGGGAGGGAAGAAAAAGTATGGAAATTAATGCCATTGTTTAAGTTAAACCCGAGAGAGACAATGTCATTTTTTTTTTTAAAAAGAGTCTTAAATGTTTGATTAAATTTTATTAGAAGCTCTTGTATTTAAGAGTAATGAGTAAGATTGAAATAACTATTATCTTATTTTAATTAACCTTGTGTCGTATCTCATGTTCATGAAACTTGATAGCCGCTAACGTACAATGCCAAAACTAAATTACTTTATCATAAGAAAATTACACTACTCTTGAAAAACCGCACAAATTGTACTAAATCTTTTGAAACCATAAACATAATATTAATTGCTTTAACATTTTTCATTAATATTGCAGCTACGTTTGAGGCCAGAGAAGAACAATTGAGAGGTGATCAGAACGAAGCAGTGAGGGCCCAGCTAGCTCAAAACAGGGAGTTCATTAAGCAAATGATGTCTCGATTTGGACATTCACGTTAATTAATCAGATAATTTTGGAACCCATGACCCAGCAATTGATACAAAACTATGATAATATCTTCAGGAGGATAATGGAGAGGATGAGTTTTGGGTGTTAATTAATGCTTAACAATTATTGTTGATATATAATTATACTATTGTGATTTCTGTTGATATATGAGTATTTGGATGAGAGATTAGAGAAAAGACAAAATATCTTCTTTTTTGTTTTATAATTTTGGTACGTTATAACGAAATTACCAATGAACCTTCTCTATTAAACTACCAACATACCTCCAAGTCACGTTGTTTCTTATAAGAATGTTGGAAGGATTAGGAGATAATAATATAAACTATTTTTCTAATATAACAGCATCAACACCCAAAAAAAAAAAAACATACACACTTAAATTGTGACCCACTAATGCAGCTTCCTCCTGGCCCCTAGTGAATATTATATATTTGATTGATCTAATCACGTAAACTACCTTGAATTATTGAATCAAACTAGGCTTTTTCATGTGAAGTGTTTTCGTATGCGATTTCCCTCCGTCTTCGACTTCTTTTAATCATTTTATTGTTCTTATTATGAACAATAAAAGGCCAAATGAACCAATGGGCAATAGGGGTTGGTATTTGGGTTTAGTGAAAGGAAATAGTCATTATAATATGATAAATCAATATTTAAATTTTCATTGGAAAAAGAACTTACATTTATTGTCCAACCATATCTCAAACAAAATTGCCTTAATAGGAGGATATAAATGGGCAACCCAAAAAAAAAAAAGGAGCCAAATGGTATTCTTTTAAATTTAGAGTAGAGTTAGGACTTCCATTTTCCTTTTAAATTGCAAGCCTAAATGTTGTTTGGTTGGTTCATAATATATGCAAAGTACTTTTGACAAATAAAAATATACAGTACTTTTCAAAGTACTTTCTTATTATTATTATTTTTTTTTTGGGGAGAATGTCACTTTAAGACCACAGTAGACAAATATATTCAAATCAGACCCAATTATTTTTGAAAATACATGGTAGACTTTAAGGTTTTTTTTTGAAATGACCAAAAAGCCCTAAACTTTTCTATGAAATTACTATAAAGCCTTAATATGTAAACAACCAAAAAGCCATTGTACGAATGAAGCCATTTTCGGGAGAGGATCGGAGTTAACTTCCCACGGTTTGCACGAAACTCCATCACAGCCAATTTCGCAAAAGTAAAGGCGATTTCTTGAGGAATCAGTTGTGATACCAAGTGTGCCATTGTGTGAATCGAATTCATTGTGGACATTGTAGCATGAAATGCCAATATGACATTACCATCAATTTACCACAATCACGACACATAATAATAATTAGGGATCATTAAGTTGAAAAGGGTTATAAACTTTATAAAAACTTGGAAACATATGAAAATATTTTAGGATTGCAAAAATCTTTCAAAATGGTAGTTTGAGCTTAAACTAATTAGCATTAGATAGTATAAGAAGCATGGAAGGACATAGAATAGCGTAATTCACGAAAACAAGGCAAAAAAGTCATTTTTGTGCACTCTGACACACATGCCGCAGCTTGTATGTAATATGTCATGGCTTGTGACACAAAGAGCTTACTTTCACCTCTATGTCATAAGCCACAACTTATGCACAACATGTCGCGCCACACGTGTCAGTTTATGACAATATTTTATTGTCATATTAGCTTTTCAGGATAAACTTTTGGTATATGTTATTTTCGCATTCAATGTCTGATTCGAGTGATTTAAGTGTTCATATAAAACTTATTTGATAATTTAACTAATGATGCAAGTTTTATTTTAATCCAATGTCATATTTGAAAATTAGATATGCAAATGTTATATGACAGTTTTCAAAGAGAATTTCATGCATTCAAGTGACCAAGTGCCCAAGTTTCAAAACTTATGCCATTAACTTATTTTGGAACTTGAACTAACTCTAATGGAACATTTTATACTTGATTGAACAAATATATATACAATGAAACAACACACTCAAGATTTGACCGCTCAAAGCCCGATTTCAAACAAATAGGACAATTTCATAAAACTCACAATATATTACTAGGTCAAATATTTACAATATAACACACATAATTACCACAAGCATGCACTCGTATTTGTTAGCCTATTTTCATGATATATATATATATATATATTTTTTTTTTCAAACATACATGCTAGGCTAAAATACCACAATATGTACGTTATGTAACATCTTAAATTTAATTTAGTCATAAAATCTAAGCGATATTAACATATGGTTTGAGTAAAACAAACATATTTGAGAGGGGTTATATATTTTAAATGAGATTAAATAGAAATATTTAAATTAATCATAATCATATAAATATTAAAGAAGTTGTGTTTCAGCAAAATACATGAGTAGAGTTTAATTTTTGAGATGTTAAAAGATTACTAAAAAAATTTCTCATAATATGTATAATTAAATTTTTAAAAAGATTATTAAAGGTTATGGTAAAAAGAAAAAGAAAAGCCCAAAAAAAAAATGTGTGGCTCACAAATTATTAAACATGCGCCTCACTTCATTTCTCTCATCCTTGCGTCTTCCACCGGTCAGCCTTCTCTTCTCTTACGGTAGAGCCATTTCCGTTCGAGAGTGAGGGAGAGTTAGGAATGAAGCTCTCTAAGAGAATATTTTGGGTGTTATGTCAAGCTTTTTAAAATGATATAAGTGTTATAAATATTTCTTTTTAATTACATATTATCTTTGATTTTTAATTTGTCTGATGATGGAAAACTTAAGGTTCATTGGGTTTTGAGTTTTTGAGGATTTTAATTAATTATTTAATCTTTAATAGAGTTAATAATGTTGGAATAAAAGTTGTATGAATTAAATTTTGCTTGAATAATCACCACCACAGAAATGGGTGGTGTTTAAAATTTTAATTTCATGATGTTTATAAAATGTTATAAAATTCAATACTATCTTATATCTTAGGTGGCGCTTCATTAATTAATGAAACGCTACAAGAAGCTAGCAATAGCAATGGCATTTTTTTTAAAAAAAATGCCACTTCTCTATTTACTTTTAAAAAATAAAAGGGGAGAGCGGTGGCCTTTTTTAAGAAAATGCCATCTCTTTACTTATTTTAAAAAAATAAAAGGAAAAAGAGGTGGTGTTTCTTGTAGGAAACACCATCTCTTTACTTACTTTTAAAAAAATAAAAAGGAAGAGATGTTATATTTTTTTTTTAGGAAATACCACCTCTCTATTTAATTTTTTAAAAACAAAAGGAGATAGGTGGCGTTTCTTACATAAAAAAGGCCACCTGTCTCCTTTAATTTTTAAAAAATTAGAAAGTACTACTTTTTAATATATATATATATAATTATTTATATATCTATCAATTTATATATATAATTTTCTTAGTAAATATACAATTAATTTATACAACAAACTTTATTTATATAATTAACAAAAATAAATAATTAATTTCAAATTATGCAAAATTATGATAAATTTAGCAAGTTCATGAAAAATTGAAGATAAAAAAACATAGATTAAATATAAGTTAAGAGATATACTAAAATTTATTAGTAATTTTTGCAATATAATTGTCAAAAATAATACTTACAATAAAAATAAATAAACAATGAAATCGAAAAAAAATATGACTGATGTTTAATAAGTTTCTTCCTCAATGATTAACAGAGATTATCATCATTACCATCTTGAAAGTTTAAAATTTAACAAAACCAAACCATTTATTACTGAAAATACAAAGATTAAAGATCATTGTCTATTCCCCAAATCTGAATAAAGCTTTTTACTCAGAGAATTATTTCACTAACAAATATGCTTATTAACAAATTAAAAGAAC